CTCCTGTCTGTGTGTCTGCTTTTATTCTGTTCTCATAAGAACAGGACTACAGCTATTCAAGTAGTTGTAAATTACTTTCTGCCACAGGTGTAAATGGGTTTCACTGGTGTCAACTCATGAAGCTTCACTTTGTGTTTGAAGCAGCTCTTCATACATTTGGCCACAGGGTGGAGCCAAAGAGAACTGTGTTTTAAAGCTTCAAGTAATGAAGCCTTTTTCAAAGCTTCAGTGCTTTAGAAAAGCTTCATTTGTCCATTTAAATTCACGTTGATCCGTCTTCTTCACACCGGTCCAGTCTCAGCAGCTGTCTGGACACCTGAAGAAAATAAAAACCTTTAGTTTTAATCTGAACCTGTGAAGGTGTTTCAGTCACATTTAACATGGTGATCTCAGTCCCATATCCGCATATTTCATCCAGCAGTCCACATGTTAAAATGATGTCATCATGGATCAGCAGCAGCAGAGTGCAGTGAGCTGTCAGCAGACGTACCGTCTGAGTCAACCTGCAGCTCCTTCACGCACAGAACCCACAGGAACACGTCGAGCCTAACGAGAACACACTCAATTACACAACAGTTACACAACAGTTACACAACTGTAGGGCAGCTGAGTGGCTGCTGGTGGTACAGTGACCTCAGCAGTCAAAGACCACCCAATCATCTCGCACGCATTTGGAGAACCAGAAGCTACAAGAGCTCAGATCCTTAGGATAGCATGCTTCAAGTTATCCCTCATCTGAGATAATTACCTGATCAATCACTTCCAGGTGGTTCAAACACCGCAGACATCACCTGAAAGGGTTAATATCACCTTTAGTGTTTGTTCAAAATTAAAACTATTTATTTTCTAACAGTGATGGCTCAGTAAAAATAATGTCTCAATCAAGCTTTGTCTCAGTGAGGGCAAGTTTGTCATCACAGCCAGAACGTGTCAGTTATTACATCATTCAGCTAATTCACCTGCAGGGTCTTTACTGGTACGTTAAAGCAGCCGAAGTGACGCCCAACACCTGGAAAACAGAAATATTAGTCAACTTCCAGGTTCCTACAGTTTAACGCAAGTTAAATTTAAGACTTTTTAATGCCAGGTGAAATCAAATTTAAGACCAATTTTACAATAAAACACAAATGACAAAATAAACTGTGGCAGAAACTCAATCTAATTATTTGTGGTTGAAGTATTCAAATATTGCTAAAAGACAAATTGTTTTTATCCATATCTAACTGCTATTTTGTCAAATATAGCAAAAAAAAAAAAAAAAAAAAAAACATTCTTAGCAGTCAGTTTTAAACTTTTTAATGCCAGGTGAAATCAAATTTAAGACCAATTTTACAATAAAACACAAATGACAAAATAAACTGTGGCAGAAACTCAATCTAATTATT